AAACTCTATTGATTCTCTTCATTCATCTTCTTGTCTACCTTTGTGTGCTATTTGGAACGTGGCAACTCGAACTGCTGCACTTCGGTGCCAAGTTCTATGTTGAATCTAGACAGACAGACAGAAGTTGTTATGGATACAAGTTGAAAAACCAACTTAAACAACTATTTTTGACTGGCCTAAAGCAGCTATCCCCTGGGTTGTGTCATCGAGTAGCACTAATTCTGTTTCCATTTCAGGTGTTTCGGAAAAATGAATCAACTTCTACGGTGTAGCAGCAACTGGGAAGTGATAAGCGTCTAAACATTTCTTGATCACTGGCCACCATCAGAGTCTTCTTATTTTCCACCCACTCTACTATCAACACTATTCAACAAGTATATCCCTCAGCTTCTTTTAAATCTGTGACGTTTAAGAGTGACAAGAAATGGAAAAGCACTGCTGATAGTATCTTAAAACCTAATATCAGGTGTGAGACATGAAAAAGTTAGCTATCTATGATCATAAATGCCTGCCTTCTATCTTCAGTGTTAGGTAGTAAGTGGAATAGGGTGGTTATTATTCAGGTTAGGTTTCAGTCGAGTGCACAGTATTGAAGAGAAATCAATCGACGAGACTGTCAAGCAGCTACATCGATTGATTGAAATGCATGCGTAGCTATTGCTTGCCTCCCTCGACGGCCATTGTTAGCTGACTGGCATAGCATGGAACAGGTTGGAAAAGAGCCAATTAGTGGTGGTCAAATCGAAACATGGCTTCATCAGTCAGTGAAATTCACAATAATTAATTAAAGCCAGCTATCCAGTCACGTAGGGAGGTGTAGAGTGGCTAGCTGGTTGGGGTCCTCTAGATGGTAAAAACCATTGACGGCTGGAGACAGACAATTAGTGATATGGCTCAAAATCCTCGTTATCAATGGCTGACGCAGATGCATCCACTCTTTGTGATTTATCACATCCAACAAATCTCTATAATTCACCCATATTACTATTGTTTTTCCGTGAAACCCACTTCTGTTTATTATCTCTCTCTTTTGAATCTGTTTTTACTCTCTGCTCTTGCTTTGTGTGTTACAACGAGGGAGTATGGCAAGTTGAACTGCTTGCTGCACATCTATGCAAAGTTATTCATGTTGGGTCAGAAAACGTCAGCACCCTCTGCTAAATCAGCTGACACGCTTCAACTGGTCTGTGGTCGAAATTTCCACATTATTTCTAATTATCACCCACCACTGCATCAGTAGGTGTTTTCCGACCCATATGGGTACCTTGGATAGTCCCATTATCAAATAGAATTTTATTTATACTGTACATTTTTAAAAAAAACTCCACATTTTATTCAAGCTCTTCATATTCCCGTATGTATATACATAGATAGATAGAGAGAATAATTCAGCGTCTCCATTCTACTCAAACAATAGTACATTTTAACATGTGATACAGTTTAATCCATGATACTTTTTTTAAAATATTAAAACAGAAAATTTTTTTTAAAAAAAAGAGAAAGATACTCAAAGTAGCCTAATAAACTTTACACCATGCGATACAATTCTCATGATTATTTTCTATTCATATTATAGTGCAAAATAGGAATGTCTGTGAATATATACGTGTGTATATGAGTGTGCGTGTGTGTGTGTATGTGTATTTGTGGTTCTCTAGTTGTTTAGAGATAAACACAATTTCAGGTTATTCAGGATTATTATTATTATTGTTCCCTTGGGTTCCTAGTGGAACATAGGGCTTCAACTGCACATCTCCACTTGCTTCTGTCTTCTGCTGTACTTTTCACCTGCATCTATGTTAGTCCATACTGCTTCAACTCCTCTCCACACGATCTTCTCCATGTCACCCTTGGACGTCCCACTCGCCTCTTCTCTTTCGGGTTCCACTCGACCACTGGACTGACGTGCTATGTCACCCAGTGGCCTCCTCGGCGAGTGTCCAATCCATCTCCACTTTCTCCTGCATATTTGTTGAGCGATTGGTTCTTGTTTCATTTTTTCCCATAGTTTCTTGTTGGTGATTCTTTCCGGCCATCTGATCTTCAGTATAGAGCCAACGAAGACAGTTGTTGATAAAGGTCTGCAACAGGCTGTTGGAAATATTCTTTGTGATCCGTATAGAAGAACTGACTGACTTGACGTTTGTATTGAAAATCCGAATTTTGTTGTTGATGCAGGCTGAGTGACGAAGATGTGTTTCTCGCCTTTCCGATTCTCGATTTGACATCCTCGTCCGTTCCTCCTGTAGTTGAAGACAATGCTCCCTAGATGAGTGAATGAAGTAACCTCTTTCAAATCCCTCCCGTTGATGGTGATTGGCGCTGGATGTTGCTGCTACTGTTGTTGTTGTTTTTGGTTGGTTATTTTCATAACCTCCGTCTTGTCTATGTTCACCTGGAGTCCTGTCTTTGCTGCCAGCCTCTTTGACCAGTTTGTCGGTTTTCGCTTGTAAGTCTTCGATTTTTTGTGAAACAATATCAGTAATTCTGTATAGAGAGCTTCACTGAAGAAGTGGAATTTAATTCGTAGCCGACTATGTGATGATGTTGCCTAAGCTTCTACAAGAAAGTCAACCAACTCGGATGTGAAGCTGAGTACTCGTTTGTTGGCATTGGCTAGCGGTAAAAATATATGTCAGGAAATGGTAGGAGTTATAATTGATACACCAGTGGTTACTGTCCCAATGGCTGAATGGTAGACGAGTTCCCCTTGTACCCTGAATGTCCCAGGATCGAAGGACAGTGGGTTCATAGGTGTATACTGCTGGATACTTTCAAACTAGGATGACATAGATGTCTGGCACACCCTGGTTTTCAAAAATTCTGCAACTTACAGGATTTTCATCATGAGCTGACATTAGTTAGAGAACCGTTGGAAAACCTGGGAGTACTGGACAGCTGTTTCGTCATATTTTGGGACTCTTCATCAGTACGCACCCACCGGGATTCAAACCCAGGACCTTCTGGTTACGAGGGTGGGTGCGTACTGATGAAGAGTCCCAAAATATGACGAAACAGCTGTCCAGTACTCCCAGGTTTTCCAATGGTTCTCTAACTAATGTAGCTCATGATGAATCCTGTAACCAATCAATTCCCTACAAACCAACACTTGAATTCTGCAACTGTTATGTCACTTCCGGATCAAAATTGGAATCAGCCAAAATCAGCGCCAAATAAGCCTTGAAGATAATAGTAAATAGTGTTATCTTTTTATTCAATATTGTAACTTCATGAAAAGAGTATGTGTGACAATGTACCTGTTCATGACAGTGTTATCAATGAGTACATTTCAAATAAGGTTGAAGATTTTCAGTCCCCTTGTTACTATTAAAATGTTGAATAAAACCTGTCAAATGGCATAGTTCTCAGATATAACTTTCTAGCTATGTTACCTTCAGTCTCCATTGCTCTAAATATTAACCTATAGATCATTAGTAACTGGATGCCTTTTAGTTCTAATGAAAGATGGCGGCCAGTAGAGTCTGCCATATCAGGTATAAAGTCGATTACGCATCGATGACTTGAGTTGACATTAGTGCTTTATAGTGAGCTAACAGAAATGCGATAAGTGAATTTACATCACAGGTGGAACTGACGAGGATATCAAAGCAAGAATCGGAAAAGCAAGACAAGCTTTCACTACTCTCAAGTCTGTGTGGAGGTCAACAGCACTCAGCATCAAAAATCATTAGGATCCGGATTTTCAACTCCAATGGTAAGTCAGTGCTACTGACTATACGGATCAGAGACTTGGCCAGGGCGTCATGAAGAGCATCTCAAACAAACTACAGACCCCCATTAACAGTTATCTTCACTCAATACTCAAGATCAGATGGCCGGAAAAGATCGGCAATAGTGAAGGATCTCTGGGAGCGAACCAACCAAGAACTGATTGTGAAACAAATAGGCAGGAAGAAATGGAGATGGATTGACTGACCATACTCTGAGGAAACCATCAAGTGACATCACTAGACAAGCCATTACTCGAGTGGAACCCGAAAGGGAAGCTGTGAGTTGGTCGTCAGTGCAAGGGTGACTTGTAGGTCATGTGAAGAGGAGATGAAAACGTGTGGGCAGACTTGGAGCCAGGTGAAGACTCTAGCAGAGAACCGAACGCAATGGAGACGCACGGCTGAAGCCCTATGTTCCTCTAGGAATTAAAGGAAACAATAATAATAATACATCAAAAGTATGAGATGTTAATGAACTCTCCTTGTAATTTGAAGATTCTGTATTCCATATATGATGATGAAGTCATGCGTACACAAACTTGGAGGATACAGCTGTCCAGTGGACATAGTCTTACAGCGATTGTTTCGGTTGATTTCAATTCGTGACGAAATTTCACCTCTATAGTAAGCATATTGGCTTATCAGCCATCCTCTAACTGTATCACTTTGATCGGAGACTAGCTGGTAACTAGTGTGATGTGTCTGTGCGGCAAGTTTGCAATGTCGTTAGCATGCTAAGTGAGTCACCATCACAGTGCACTTTGAATTGTTGGAGGCAATCGGCCGCAGGAAACGCTACCTAACAACTAGATTTCATGTTATTTGAAACTCATCTGTTAGCAAGGCGTATCTGCAAGCACCTTGAAGGAACTCATGTCCCTCCTGCTGAGGTTTGAACCCACGTCACCCAGTGTCGCCTGCAGTCAGAAACGTTACCATTGAGGAGCTGTTTGGCTAGCGATTGAGCTCATCTGGTGGGATTGTATTCGATGCTTTGATTGGACACCAGTGTAATGTGTGTGTGTGGTCGTTTCTCTGGTATAGACTGGATCTTATCAGCAGCATTAAGTGACACAGTTTTGCGTCGCAGAAGGGATATGGGTTTCTTTTTAGATTGCAGGTAGGCCTTATTGACTGGTGGTTGAGAACTAGCACGAAAGACAGGTCAGGTAGGTAGGACTTCCTACCGATTGCCTTCATTCAACCTGCTAATATCTGACTGCTTCACTAAAACGACACAGAATAAGCAAGCAGACAAATAGAAACACTGTTATAATAATGATAATATATTTGTCTTTATTTTTCATCAACCCAATAACCCAAAAACAAAATTATTATTTCATGATTTTTCTTTCCATCTCTGTTTCTTACATCTGTTATTTTCAAAACAGAAAAGTATGTCAAGGAGTAGGGGATGAAGAAGGGAGGGAGGATACAAAATTTCCTTATCCACATGTCAACAATTACAATAAGAAGAAAAAGAAGGGTAAAAATTAGCAATATGACAGATGAATAGAAATTATTAAAAAATATATTTTTTTTGGCGGGACAGGGGTGGGAAGTGAAGGATTTTATCACATTGAAGAGTGTCATTTTGCCAGGTTATAAGGAATGTTGTGAGATAGTTTAAAACATTTTTTGATATCATCAGTCTTGCCTTCCTTATCTTCTTCGGCTTCTTCTTCGTCACCTCAAGCTGAATCACCAGACTTGATAGCTCGAATAACACAAATAGCGAAGACAATACACAATAACTGTAGTAAAGCGAAAACGAATGCAGCGACAACAACAGCGACAAGATACTTTTCAAAGAAACTTATCACTTTGTTAGAGCAACCCTGAAAAGAAAACAAACGAAAGTTAACAAGATATACCAATGAATAGACAGTGTATACAATTAAATTGTCATCATATTCAAGTATAGTCTAGTAAACATTATTATATATATGTGTAAAACTTGGGCACTGTGGTAGTAAGTAATTCCAAATTAGTTTGTTTATTAGATATATCACACACAGTGAAACAGTATTATTAATACTGGATGACAAGGTTTAGAACAAAATCGCTTATTGTTCATAATCATGCCATCAATTATAATCACACGACTTTGAAACTTGAGTTTTATAGTTTTCTTTGTTCTCTCCTATTTGTCGTTGTTGGGGTAGTAGAATAGATATACAGATAGATTTTTCGAACACATTAACTCAAAGGTGGAGGCAATTCAATTCACTTACGAATTCGAAAGTAAGGAACTCACGGAGCTTCCAATGTTAGATTGTAGCGTAAAAACGGAAGAAGATGGGAAGTTAAATACATACTAGTGTGTTTACAGGAAACCCACACATTCAAACAGATGTTTGGACTTCTGATCATCCCATCCTATGTCAGTGAAAATAGGATTGGTGAAATGTTTAAGTAATAGAGCACGAAAACTAAGTAGTACCAAGGAAAATTTAAGACAGGAAGTGAGGCATATAAGAGAAGCTTTGAAACTTAATTAATAATTACCCTGATAAATTAGTCAGAAAGTATATAGGAAAAATGTAAAAATGAAATAAATAATAATAGTAGTGATAGTGATAATAATAATAATATTAATGACGACATGTACGTCAAACATGCGCAAGATAATGACAACGCCAACAATTAGGAATCTAAATCATCAGTAGTAATTCCATACAAGGAAGGAACCTCGGAAGCCTTACGCAGAATTCTTAACAAGGCAGGAATAAAAGTGTCATTCAAACCCACAAAAACTCAATTACAAACAAGCTTTGTCGGTTGAAGGATCAATCCTGTGGAGCCAATAAAACAAAACAATTCAGTTTATCTAATACCCTGCCTGAAATGATTGTCAGGTCAAATACATAGGTCAAAGTAGTAGAACAGGTGCCATCAGACTAGCTGAGCATGAAAACCTAACAAAATCTAGATTAGTTGACCCGAATAAGATAAGAAATCTAGAGAATAGTTCAGCCGTAGATAGCACTCACTACATGCAATTACACACAACCATACAATAGGCTGGATGGGATAAAATTAGAGTTTTAAAATCTAATGTAACAAGGTGGAGGGAGAGATTGATAACAACGGGAGCTTTGTTTATCAAATCAACTGCAAACACGTGTAATAGAAATGACTGAACACCTGTCCACTCAGATATCTGGAAAATTCTACTACCCTAACGACGACAAATAGGAGAGAACAAAGAAAACTATAAAACTCAAGTATCGAAGTCATGTGATTATGATAGATCATATGCTTATGAACAATAATCAATTTTGTTCTAAACCTTGTTATTCAGTTAATAATACTGTGTCACTGTATGTGATATATCTAATAAACAAACTAACATGAAAGTCTAGTAAGCAGTTCAAAAGTAAGCACTTATAACTTCATTTATATTATGCTGTAGGTGAAGAGATTATATGTCAACATTATGTTGAATAAATCTCTATATAGTCGATTTCTAAAGTCAATTTAAAGTGCACTGTATCGGTGAGTCACCTACCTAAGTGACCATACATGTATATGGTATACTTTACTGATAGAATTCATTCATTCCATTGTAACACAAAAGTCTAGACACCTGATATTGGTCACTGTTTTTATTGACTAGTCAATGTGTTTGCTTATGAATAGGGTATTGTTCTTATTCCGGTGGAATTTATGTATGAAATCAAAAAAGAAAATAAATTTACATGCGTATAATATGAATTATTGATATAAGTATAAAACTTGGTCACTTTGGTAGAGCATAACTCCATTATGGATAAGATTTTATTTTGATAAATCACACAGTGTTGTACAGTAATAAAATCTTATCCATAATAGAGTATAATATGAACTTTGGTCATGTAGTCAAAGTGGTTAAGGTGGATACACTTCTTTGATGGCAGTGTGGCGGGGTGAAGGAGGTTGGCGGGGGGTTAGGGCGATTTAACCCCCTCAGAGGCATTCACCTCAAGATCTAGGAGGTAAATAATCGGGAGTGAAAAGGTTTAAAGTTCACTTTCAGAATAGAATGCCTGCGTATTAAATGAAAATTAGAGGGGAGGTGAAGAGGAACAGGAAACTGTTGAATAAATTACTGAAATACTGAAAAGATACTTTCTTTGGTGCAAACTGAATTCTATCAGTCAGTCAGGTTTGCAATGTGGCCACCATGTCACTAGGTAGCTCGCCATCATAGTGTATATTGATTTGACGATATTAGATGGTTGGAAGCAATCGGCCACAGGAAGCCTTAGACCTAGGTTTTGTGCTAGCTGGCACTCACCAGTCAGCAAGTCGTATCTGCAAGTACCTTGAAGGAACTCATGTCCATTCTGATATTCGAACCCGTTTCACCCAGTGCCGCCTGCAGTCAGAGACGTTACCATTGAGCAGGTATTCGGGCTCGTGATTGACCTCCTGTAGGACTGTAGTGGATACTTTGATTGGACACTAGTAACTAGTGTGATGTGTCTAGTCCTCTCTATGGTGCAGACTAAATGTTAAAGGTTCGATTTCATACTTGAAGTAAAATGAAGACGTTTTATCTGAAACCTGAAATGTACATCTTTTTTCACAAAAGAGCCAACTATCTATCCTACTAATAAAGCTGTCTCCTTAACTACTTCAACTGTAAGACTTCATAATGCTCAAGACGGTTCTTAAACAATACATTTTAGAGACAGAACACATGAAATGAATATATTCCTAATCACTAGCAATTGTTCTTGACTGTTCATTACAATGTAGAGCCTTATGTTCAGGGTTTATAAAGTTATTCATTAGGTAAATCTATAATTAGAAAGCTGAATTTTTTAAGTTACACTCCAATAACTTTTGCTTCAAGATTTGTTCTTTACATCAGTATGAATATCAATCTAAAAGCCTTATTAAAACATGGGATCTTTAAACAACATACAGCTGAATTATCAATACGATAACCAAATGATGAAAAGTTTTTCAAGAGTCGTGAACATGAAATTTCCATAACCTGTTTTCAGTCGAATACTAACCTAGAATTCTATGAGTTGTGAACACTTTTGTTTATGTTTAATTTTGTTGTTTCTCGACTTTCTTGTTTTCTCTTCATTGAGAGAAGACACAGTGAAAGAAATCATATCGACGGTTTCAAGATTCAGTTTGGAAGTCTTCATGAAGGTTGAAACGGAAGGAAGTGGAAACAGAGCACCATTGGTCCTGTCCTTATTGAATTCTTTTAAAACGTTTAACATATTTATCCGAATGGCTCAGACTTCTCAGTCACTGGACTATATTTGTATACTTTGAAAGTGAAAATATAATGGGATAATAAGAACCTTGTTGTTTTTTTCATGTTTCTTGAATGTAGCTCAGGCCAGTAAACACATAATTTTCAATTTCAGCTGATTGCGATTTTGGTACTTAGTCTCAAACATCAAGTCTATTTTGCTGGCACTTATTCAATAATAAACAGACTGTACACAACTGTAAACGTGCTCTACAAGACGATAGTGAACTTAAAACCGTTCACTAGTAACAAAATATATCAAGGCAGAAATGTGATATTTTCAAATAATTCTGGTGAACAAAGAAAATGCATTTACTCACTTCTAACCTACAATTAAGCCCATCTTATGATAAAGAGAACTTAACCATCACTATTAAAATGTCTTATAACGAACTTCTACAGGACCAGTAATGTTACTATCTTATCCATCCAGCTTAGAATCTTTTTGATGCTTGTTTTGTGAAAATGTGTTAGCAAACTCTCTACTTCTAATAAATAATGGGTATTAATAACCAAAACTGTTGAAAATTAATATTAGCAAACTCTGTAGATGCAAAAGTACTGAGAGATGTTATCAACGGCTGTCATGTTCTATAAAATTCTCCAAATATTATCAAAGATTTATTTCACCTAAATGTTGATATTATACTTTTAGTAATATCTATCCATAAAATCACATACCAGATACTGGATGCTTCACTGAGGGCATTATTTTAAGCTTTCCAGACATCTATAGTGTAACAGAGTAAATTTGAATCTCAAGGCCTAAGTATTGAACACTGGTAGTTTAATGTACGGAATGGACGCTAACCGCGAAAGTGGCCCCCAGCTTCATGCCTAGACTACAAACTCCTAAACCTTACCTAACCGGAACTAGGCCCAGCAAACAAGGGAGGTTTGGTATGAGGCCAGTGACTTCACGCCGCATAGAGATGAAAGCTTCGAAGAATAATGCTTTAAGTCCTATTTTCCACTCAAACGGCAAAGGAGTAAAACGATGTTGCGTAGGATATTCAAAAGTACAAACAATATAGAAATTATTTGCATGGTATTTATACGCAAGTAACACTGTGTGTCACTGATTTATGGATCCATCTCCTAGCCATTAAGTCAAGGAATAAGACCCTGTCAGACCTCGCAGAATAAACATGGTTTATTTCTAGCCAAAAAAATTTTAGGTAGTCCTTTTAATATCTTATTTATTAATAAGCAGAGATAAGCACTGGTAGCATTTCAGAAGCACACAAGTTATATTATTGAAATATATGTCCAAGCCAGGTTCATTTCTAACGGTTATAAAACAATCTGAGCATTGGTTATATGATTGTCACTATTATAGCCGTTTTTGTATTTCTCAATGAGCGGAAAACAAAACAATATTATTTTCATTCACTGGGAAATACAAAAGCTTTTATAATAATAAAACTCGAAAATGAAAACTTATTATTAGAAGTGAGCACGACTTATTTCCTTGATGACTTATTTGTTTGACCCGTAGTATTTACTTAATCCAGTAAAATTAATGGAACTAAAATGTTTCGAAATATTTTTCAAGTCATATTTCATCATGAACTAACATCCTCAAGAAGGGTAGCTATCACTTGATTCGTTTTATAATGGGAACTCAAAAATGCAGTTTCTGGTAGACATTAACGGTAGTTAAACAAATCTTAGAAAACTAAAAGTCACAGGAGACATTTAAATAAGAAGTTTTGACTCACATCTGTATATGGCACCTTTGTAGCTGGATCTGTACAAGAGTCAGGAACCGTTTGTCCTGTTGCATTGTAATCATTTGAAGACTCAGAACCACAACATTTAAACTGAAGAAGATTATAGAAGGGCGCAACATACCTCTGACTGTATTTTATCAATGAGTTTCTGGAGCTCAGGATTGCTACTATACACTGCCACAGAACTCCTGACTGTAGCTGTGAAGTGCTTCTTGACATCATCTTTCAGTACAACAGCAGCTATTCCTGCGCCGATTTCAGCCGCAACTATAACTGATAGCATAATAGCATACTATACAAAAATCAACAGATGCAAATAGGAATTTACCATTGTTAAACAGCAAACATTTTTAGTGCATGCGCCACAGAATCCAAGGAATCCCAGGAGAAACACAACACATCCAAGGACAATGATAAAAATGACAAGTCCTTTTAAATTTGCATCCAATCCGGCAGAATATTTATTAATAGCTACTTGTGCAAGGCTTCCAATTACAATCAGAGCGATGCCACATGCCTTGATAAATAAGATGTAGGTTCTGAATATCTCTAACTTACAAACACAAGTATATTGAAGATGACCAAAAATATTTGCAAACATTTGTAGCCACAGCTTAAAGACGCCATTGTTAGAAATGTGCGCAGAAACAGTACACCGTGTTTATATAGTTTCAAGGTCTTCACTCAACACCAAAAATAATTGATGTGACCTAACAAAATATTTTTAAATTTCGCATGTTCTGCCTATTGACACTTTTTAAGAGATTTTTCTTTATTTTATACTTCTTTTTTAAAAGGTATCTGGTTTCTGTTGCACAGGCACAGTGCCAGCAGTAACACAAACCATTTTGGTAGTCCATAGTTGTCTTTATGATTACAGTTTGCCGATTGTATCTGTCCCGAGAATGGTTTATTGGTGGTGACGATTGCTCTTTAGACGGCGAAACACGTTCTAAAACTCAGATCGTTGAGTTAGTGACGGTAACTTATTCTAACTTCTGGATAATTGTGTTCCAGTGACGGAATAGTGTTTCCACTAACATTCCCTTTGCATACGGGTACTCTATTAGCTACGTTAATTTAAATGAATCACGCATTTGACGTATTCAGTTCGAAAGTCAGCAGGCCTCCTACCTAAATCCACTCGTCTTCAAATCAAAAGTGTTGGGAATCAAGGATAATGCTTTAACTAGGCAATTACTGAACAAGTACGCCACACTGTGGCTCTAATCTTAGTGCTGTCATTCAAAGGAAAATTTTGGTATAGACGCCCTCTACTTATCTCATAACACAAGGAAATATTCTTACCCAGCTAAGTGTTTCTAAGGTTTCAAGAATCCTCATTATATTTCTGCTTCCATACAATAATATTTGCATGATATGTACAATGTCAAACTTGAATCCACTGAACGTGTTCATGAGATACCTGCAAGCTTACTGGTGACTTTTGCCACTAATTATATCTCTCTGAAGCTGAAAATACTTGTTTTTCAACCTCCATAGATCTACCAAGAAAGACTGAACCAAACTACTTTTGTCACTGAACTCTTTAGGGTAGCGACGGTTATTGCACTTTCAAGCATCTTTGCTAACGCTGCTGAAGGTATGGTAGATGGGGTAAGGCAGTCTATAACAGTGCGTAAACAATGAAACAAGAGGACAGGGATCTGCTACAAATCTCCACTGGGTCAGTGACTGTTGCTGGCAATACCAAAACAGACGAAAAATGAGACCTGAGAAACGCTTCACATCGAGCTGTATATTCCATCATCTTTAATAAAGCACGAACCAGCTACAATGGACAAGCTACTAATGCCAACTATCGGAATCATGTGATTAAGCAGAATGCATTCTTTTTTACACAATAGCCTATTGTTTGAACTGAGAAGGTTTTATGAAGTTTTCACCACAAGCCTACTGTTCACTTCACTTTCTCTTAACCAATTTTATCATGTTCACAGCAAAACACTACATATGTGGTTGATTTTGTAGTGTCACTACAACATGGTATACTATGACCACTCAGATGTGGTTAGTCTTCTACAGTAGTAGGAACCATAGGTCAATAATTATTCTGATACAAAACTTGGCTGCTGAAATGTCATTTGAATCACCGATTGTGGCTATAGAACCACCTAAACTTTATATCCGTTGAGCAGATTGTCTTCACTTGTTTCCTGTAGTCTCCTCTGTAACATTTTACCTGCCTGTTTTATATACAGGCACTAATGTAGATTCTAACACTGTAATGGCAAAAATTTTCTATCTCACAACAGTACTAGGTGAGTGAAAAATATTGAAGGGATTTTTATTTTTACTGGGTATCCTATCAACAAACCCCCTGCATAGTCCCGTTTCTGTTGATATCAAATTAAACATTAATCCAACCCTGACTAGCGTCATGGTTTTGCGGTTATCACTGAGAATTCATCCGAATTCTTGAGCACCTGAACTGCTACCAGTTTTTCCCTCTATTCTGCAGTAAGTAGGCACATTCTAGACTGCTTTACCTCCCATTAATCTGTTATCAACTTGAAATTTTGAATCCCACCTGTAACGTTGGTTGACGAACTACTGTCTGTGGTATATACGGTAGGACATAAGGACTGCTTCTTAATCCTTGACGCAATAAAGTTGGGTGTGTCACAAGTTTTCAGACAGATAACTTCAATGAAATCACTTCTGTTTTCTAGGTACATTAACTTCTGGCCGTTTGACGTTAGAAGTGACAATACATCAAACATTGCTTGGCAATATATATCGCACATGTTCTCGTCAGTCACAGCTCAGCTATAAGCTTAAAATCACGGTATTCACATGCAAAGCGCTAAACATGATTAACGACTGCTGCCCGGCATATATGGTTCAGGCACCTTCTATCATGGTTTTTTCAGACTTTAGAATATTCTTACGCATTCCCCAGAATGGTGACATGACTTACATACATGCCTTGAAATAATGCCTAAGAAAGAAGCGGTTCTCTGCTTATGCATTTGGATAAAATGTAAGAAACATAGCCACCTTACAGCCTAGTGTGTGCATGACGCTTAAGGTGACTACACTACATTCGAAACACTTCATTATTCAGCGACGCAACGTCATGAATAGCGTTAGTGTCGAAAGAGTCAAAAAGCATCCATCTATAAAGTGACCGACTCCCCTTGTCTGCTGGATGACTTCTGCAAGCGATAATTGCTAACGCCGATAATAGTGGATAAAGTGCAAAAAATGTTTTTTGAGTTAAGGCGACCGTACCACTGACTCGTGAAAGGCTTCTAGAAAATGCCAGAGAATGAACGATCAATAAACTAAGTAAATGCGGAGCGTGAAGGAAATTGACAAGACATTGAAGAGGATGTTGACAGAATCAGGCCTAAGGAATTCATAACTACTCAGCATCCTCGTAGGTTCCCGATTATGAGAGCGTTTCCTTCGACCTGCAAATAATCCACAGGCAGTAGCAGTTTCCAGAGTCAAGGAACACCAGCTCACCACTGTAGAAGATATACACTTGACATCAAAATCCGTCTGCAACCATAAGCGCATTGTGCAGTACAAGCAGGATAAAATTTGATGCCATTAATAACTGCCAGGTGAAGAATATCAGCAGGCAAGACAGGTTTGAAAATGAAAGAATTAGTATACTTCTTCAAATGACATACGAACCACCGTATCCTGTTTCGAATGAATGTTCTACTTTTACTAACCATTGCGTTTACTGGTTCTCTAAGATGGTATTAAGCGGGTATTCAGAGCAACAATTGTTGCGGTAACCTCGTAGTTCACTTCTAGCTCAAGTTTTAGGTCATGAGGCGAAAACAAATGTACTCGATGAAAATTACTCGAACTAACATTCCTAGGTAAGTCATTTCTTGGAAGAAGGTGGTGTAGTATGTCTACACCTAAAAGGATGTCTTATAAATGCTAAAGTCACTCTGTAGCCGTAAGTCATCAGTTGTTACAGTCTCACTTCGTACACCTTACTTATTAGTCGCTCTGTAGTTATTTCCACACAAAAGCGGTAAAGAAAGATGCACGACTCACCTCCGCAAAAATGAGAATAATTCTATGTGACGGTTCTTCGCCATCTTGTAGTCTTAGAACTGCAGTGAAGAAGCTGAATTCTTTCTACTACTTTGCTTATGTGGGAAGTATCTAGAAGCCGGGTAGTGTGATTACTGAAAATTCGAGAGCGCGAACTAAAAATACCGTTTTATGTCGGCTAAGCTGAAGATGAGATAAGCATGGATATTTTTCCCTTGACATCAAATAATGATTGCAAAAGTTCATGTGAAGGCGCATCATGTTAGGTAAAACTCCAGTGTTAGCAATAACGAGGTGACGCACACAGAGTTCGACAAGGAGAGTGATTCGTCAAACCATGTGTACATGCTCAGTAACACAGTGTTTGCTAAGCTAAGAACGATTTACGAATGAACAGTCTAAGGCCGGCACTCAGCATCAAAAAACTCCAATGCGGTGGTAGTGCTACTATACGGATTAGAAACTTGCACTGCACGTCATAAAGAGCATCTCAAACAAACTACAGACCTTCATTAACAGTTGTCTTCTCTCAATACTCAAGATCAGATGGCCGGCCAGAAAAGATCAGTAACAGGGATCTCTGGCAATGAGCGAACCATCCCGGCGGGAACCGATTGTGAAACAAATAGGCAGGAAGAAATGGAGATGGATTGGCTGGCCATACTCTGAGGAAACAAGTCATCAAGTGACATCACTAGACAAGCCAGTGCTCGAGTGGGACCCGAAAGGGAGGCGGCGAGTTGGTAGTCAGTGCGAGGGTGAATTGTGGGAGGTCATGTGAAGAGGAGATGAAGGCGTGTGGGCAGACTTGGAGCCAGGTGAAGACTCTAGCAGGGAACCGAATGCAATGGAGACGCACGGCTGACGCCCTATGTTCCTCAAGGAATTAAAGGAAACAATAATATATAATAATAGTCTAAGGCCACTATGGCGCTTCGAGCCATCATCTACCGACACGTGATGAGATGACTAACGGACGTCAGCGATGATGGGCTGAATTGCAATCAACATTCGGCAACTTGTCGGTAGATTTCTTTTGTTGCAACTAGTAATTCAGCAGACTAACTACAATATTAAAGTGGATTTGCAGCAGAGCAAGCAAACGGTAATTTACATCGAAATAATCCACTGGAAACTAAGCGTGTAGCCAAATGAACTGGTAGCTTGGATAACATTCTACAAACAAAAATTAAATGGTATGACCTATAAAGGTTATCTGATGATAAATGTCCGGTTAATAGATGACGAGGGGCACACTCATTCATGATTTAACTTCTCCTGTCCTACAATCTTATTTACCTTCACTGTCTCAGCAAACTTGTTTGGCTGAAGGAAATCCACCACATGGAAAGATGGGTCGTTGTTCGATCTTCAGAGACTGTACTACTACTCACCAAGAGTGCTGTTACATCCAGCCAATGAGTCCAAAATAGGAGGAGATAAAAACTCCTGATTTCCCGACTGACTACAACGAAACAGATAACATCTTTTTTTAAGGTACTGGTCGTGTTGTTGACATGCTATACTGTACCGGCCTTACTAAATACTATGTACCTGATTACCCACCAAACCGGAACGCTATCTGACTGATATGTACTTCTAAAAGTCATACAGAAATATTTTCCGAAATTCGGTGAATCTTAAC